CTCTCTCTCTCTCTCTCTCTCTCTCTCTCTCTCTCTCTCTCTCTCTCTCTCTCTCTCTCTCTCTCACACACACACACACACACACACACACATTTGGAATCCCCTTTGCTACTCTCATCGTCAGGCAACTCCGAACCGTGGCCATCTGAGTCGGGGTCGTCCTAAGAAGAGCAGGAGGAGGAGGTAGAAGACGACGAGCTATGGAAGAGGAGGAGGAGACGAAGAGGAGGAGGAGGAGGTAGAAGATGACGAGCTATGGAAGAGGAGGATAAGAAGAAGAGGAGAAGAAGAGGAGGAGGAGGAGGTAGAATATGACGAGCTATGGAAGAAGAGGAGAAGAAGAAGAGGAGAAGAAGAAGAGGAGGAGGAGAAGAAGAGGAGGAGGAGGAGGTGGAAGATGACGAAGATGAGGAGTGGAGAAAGAAGAAGCAGCGCGCAGTAACGAAGGAGGAGGAAGAAGCAGCGCGCACTAAAGCTGGATTTCCGGGGGAGGAGGAAGAAGCAGCGCGCACTAAAAATTAAAAAAAAAAAAGGTTATGGCTAACGAAGGAGGAGGAGAAGAGGAGGAGGAGGTAGAAGGTGACGAAGATGAGGAGTGGAGGAAGAAGAAAACAAAGAGGAGGGAGGAGAAGAAGAGGAGGAGGAGGAGGAGGAGGAAGGAAAGGATGCCGAAGAAGAGGGAGGAGAAGAGCAGGAGGAAGAGGAGGAGGAAGAGGAGGAAGAGGAAGAGGAAGAAGAAGAAGGAGAACCAAACCTTGAAGCAGAGGGCGCCCTGTACTCGTCGGCCCTTGGGAGGAGGAGGAGGGGTTGCAACGGCGCGACCACGAAGCAATGGCGATCCTGGATGACGAAGACAACGCTGCTCGATGCTGCGGGGCGTTGGACGACGGCGATGCTCGTCGAAGTTCGGGCGGGGGGGAGGGCTCGTCGAAGTTCGTGCGGGGGGGAGGGCTTGCCAAGTTCATGCGCTGAAAGCACCAGCGCGAAGTTGAAAAAAGGGGCCAATCTTGGCCGCCGATCTGAGACGATCAACGGCCAAGATTCGCCCCTTTTTCAAACAACAAAACGAAGGGCCTGATGGACCCGGTTTCCAAGTTCCGGGTCACGGCCTGCCCCCCACGCGCCAGTCAAAAAAGACCCCGCCGCCAATTTTTTTTTTTAAGGTCCCAGCGAAAATGCGCTGGGGGCAACCGGGTGTGAACCGGCCCGGGGCACTGGCCGGTCCAACCGGGTGGACTCCGGTCGGGGGAGTGCCCCGCGGTCCATCCGGCGACCAGCACTGACTGGAACGCCATTCTTTCTGTAAACCCGCTCCACAAAATGGAAGTTCCCTTCTTTTCTTTTTTTCTTTTTTCTTTTTTCTTTTGCAAGTGGACCCGCCGCAGCTACGCTGTGGCGAAGGACGATGACAAAAACATTTTATGAAACACACCAGCCATCAGTTGCACACCATCTTTGCAATGCATGCCTACGGGACGCTGTCCAACTTTGCAAAATGCCCCGGCAGTTCCCAACTTTTCGTACATGCAATTGCGAATGCAATTGCGAAAGGCCAAGAGAATTCGCACACCCACCTGACAGGGGCATTCCACTGTGCCCATTTTAGGGACATTTTGACATATATCTCAACTTATGGTCATATTTGGAAAATTACCCCCCCACAAAAAAGAAGGAGACTCTCCCCCCCCCCAAAAAAAAAGGAGACATTCTCTCTCTCTTCTCTGTCTGTGTGTGTGTGTGTGTGTG